GGCTAGAGCAGGGTCAATGGGAGCTCCATCCTACTGTGTGAGGGCTTCCTTTAGGCCGTGCAAGAGTGCCACAAAAGCACAGTAGCTCTCTTGGTAGCACTCTGAAGTTTACTATTGCTTACAGTTGTAAGTTTTTTCGATTTACTCCTGGTGGGCCAAACCAAGTGTGAGCCTGTCCTGAAGCCTGTTCCAAAGCGGATGCCAGAATGCTGGGAATGGAGGAAGGAGTGCGGGACACAGTAGACTCCTTTTGAGGCAGTTTCTGAAGGTAGTACCCAGTTGGAGATTCCTTAGGAGATGTCTGGTTAGCAAGTGTGGCTGCTGTCCTGTAACACAGCTGTCTGCAAGATTTTGGAAAATATGACATGGAATCAAAAGAGAAGAGGGAGGGTGGGAGAAGAAAAAGAAATGCTTAAGTGTTCTGGAGGCACCGGTATAACTTATGTAGAGAGCGATACAATAGATGATGTACCTTCTCTTCTTGACACCCTGATTAATTAATGTGTTTCCTGCACTTGTGCTTTAACACCATCACAGTTTTATTGCTGTCCTGTTGTCTTTAAGCTCTTTTAAGGCCCGGGATGGCTCATCATGTTTGCTACAATTATTTTGGAAATACGAACAGCATACATGACAGTATATAAATAAACTTTATAATATGGAAGACGGTTAGTTAGAAGCATATAATTTCAGAGGAGTTGCTTGACCAAGATTGGTATCTTTCTACCATTTAGCCTTTGACTACGTGACTACTGTGCATTACACCTAAATACAGCCTTAATTATGCTATACTGCATAATTAGGTGCTATATTTTTTGTTTAATACATAGTTATTACAGTGAAACAGTTGTCTTTTAAACTGAAAACTCTGTGAAGGCTGCTTATTTTCTGAGTATTCATTACTGTCTTGGATTTAGCTACATAAGTAAAAATGGTTTGGTATGTGCTTTGTCAAGGTTTTCAGACTTTGGTAGGTAAGGAACTGGAGCTATAGTTACATATATTGTAGAAGTGTTGAAATAGCTAACTTTTCCTACTGTATCCAAATTCAGGAACAGATAGGAAACAACAGAGGCTTCGTCCTATTGTCCAGGAAAATACAGTTTTACAGAATATGGGGAGATTCTTGTGTTTTCTCATCTTTGTACAGCGATATTAAAAAAATACATATATTGTAAAACCCATTCTGTCTAGGCAGTTCCACTGGCTACAGTGAACCAGTAGGATGTGGGGAGTAATAGCCCTAGAAGGCATTGTTTGTTTGAATCATAGAATCATAGAACATTCTGGGTCGGAAGGGACCCTTAGAGGTCACCCAGTCCAACCCCCCCTGCAGGGAGCAGCGACACCGCTAATTAGATCAGGCTGCTCAGAGCCCCATCCAACCTGGCCTTGAGTGTTTCCAGGGATGGGGCCTCCACTACCTCTCTGGCAACCTGTTCCAGCGTTTCACCACCCTCATTGTAAAGAATTTCTTCCTTATATCTAGTCTAAACCTACCCCGGATTCG